GCAGTACAGCACATGTAAAAGGGTTCATCTTTGTTGTCTGTACCTCCCATGTACCTCTCTGTGTCTTCCTCTTCCTTAGTGCCACCATGTTGATCACTCACTTTTGATACATTGCCCTTCCCTTCACCCAAATCAATACTTGTCTCTACCTATCTATCAGTGTTCTCTCCCCTCCATTACTGATAACCAACAAAGAAAGTTTCCTTCCATATATAAACCTTTTCTTGACTTCTTACAATAGTGAACTATATAATATTTGTTCTTCTGTGATTGACATACTTCACTCTGTATAATGTCCTCCAAGTTCATCCATGTTCTGTGGTGCTTTGCAGACTCTACATTACTCTTCAGTGTTGCATATTATTCCATTGTGTGTATGTACCATAGTTTAGCTACCCATTCTTCTGTTGATGGGTGCTTAGGTTGTTTCCATCTCTTTGCTATTGTAAACAGTGCTGCGATGAACATTGATATGTATATATCTGTGCCTGTCCTGGCTCTCACTTCTTTAGGATATATACCTAGTAATGGGCTTGCTGGATCAAATGGTATTTCTAATTCCAACTTTTTAATAACATACTGATTTCCACAATGGTTGTATCATTTTACAGTCCCACCAGCAGTGTATGAGCGTCCCAATCTTTCCACATCCTTGCCAGCATTTATTATTTTCTGTCTTATTGAACTTTGCTATTAGTGCTGGGGTGAGATAGCATCTCATTGTTGTTTTGATTTCCATCTCTGTAATGACTAATGATTGTGAACATTTCTTCATGTGTTTGTTGGCTGCCTGAATATCTTTTTTGGTGATGTGTCTATTCATGTGTTCTGCCCATTTTTTAATTGGACTGTTTGTCTTTTTAATGTTGAGGTGTTGGGAGTTTTTGTAAATTTTAGAGATAAATCCCTTGTCAGCTATGTCATTGCTGAACATTTTTTCCCCATCTGTAGGTTCTCTTTTGACTCTTTTGGAGAAGTCTTTTGAAGCACATAAAATTGTAATTTTCAGAAGGTCCCAATCATTTAGTTTATCTTCTGCCGTTTGTGGATTTGGGGTTATGCTTTATAGCCTATTTATGCCATAAATGAGGGCCCCTAAACTTGACCCTATTTTTTCCTTGATGAACTTTATAGTTTTAGGTTTCACATTTAAGTCTTTGATCCATCTGCAGTTAGTTTTTGTGTATGGTGTGAGATATGGATCTTGTTTCATTTTTCTGCAAATGGATAACCAGTTTTGCCAGCACCATATGTTAAAGAGACTATCTTTTCCCCATTTAATGGAGTTTGGCCCTTTTTCAAAGATCAGCTGACCATAGGTTGATGGATCTATTTATGGGTTCTCAATTCTATTCCATTGGTCTGTGTGTCTGTCGTTGTACCAATACCAGGCTGTTTGGACTACTGTGACTGTATAGCACATTTTGAGATCTAGGAGTGTGAGACCTCCTACTTTGTTTTCCTTCTTCAATAGTGCTTTGCTTGCCCAGCCAGGACTTTCTTCTGAGGGGCACCTGGGTGGACTTGAACTGGTAACCGTTAGAGCTTAGTGTTAACTGTTTGCACCCCCACAGACTCCCCTATGTGTACAGAGTGTACTTAATGGCATAGAAGAAGAGGAGTGAGTGAAGAGAATGGATAAGTGACTGCAGAGCAGTGGAAAGTGCAAAATGAGGAAGGGATAAAGGGGACAAAAAAAAAAAAAAAAAAAACTCACCACCATCGAGTCAGTTCCAACTCATAGCGACCCCTCCTTGGGTTTCCAAGGTGGTATCACTACAGAAGCAGATTGCCCAATCTTCCTTCCGAGGAGTGGCTGGTGGGTTTCAACCATCAGCCTTCTGGTTAGCAGTCAAATGCCTTAGGCACTATGCCACCAGAGCTCCCATAAAGGGGACAGGGGAAAGGAAAATAGATATATAGCAGGCCTCAGGATATAGGCTCCTAGACATCCAACATCTTTGTGTAGAAGTTTCTTCTTATCCTTGGTTATTATCCCTTTCCACCCCTTCATCCCACATGTTGTACATGTGTACACACACACACACACACACACACACTTTAGCTACCTACCCCACACCCAGCCCTCTTAACCTTACTTTCTCTATCCTAAGGTCCAAGTCTCCCACTTCACTCTCTCTACTCTCCTTTATGGGACAATCATAGTACTCCTCCATTTCAAACCATTCCTAAGAGCCAGAAATTCTTACTTCAGGACTCTTGAGGGCAGTCTAGCTCCTTCACGTTTTCACTATCCCAATCCCATACCTCCCAAAAGAGATGAGCCATCCCCAGCCCAAGTACAAGGGTTTCCCACAGTACCAGTCTCTCCTCTTCCACTACAATCCCCAAAGCAAATGCAAAGTCCTGGTTTTTCTAAGGAGTTTATTGACGGTATTAGGGGAACCCATATTGCCATGTGGAAGATTAGAGTCAGAGCACACCACATTGCAGTCCAAAGATCTCCAAATCCTGAGGGCATTACCTCGCCTACTTCTCCCCAAGCTCCATCTTCATCTCCTGGCTTACAGCCCCCTCAGTTCCCAGCATTCAGGAGAATGTTGGGCTCAACTCCTCCACAGTCCTTCATTGACTATTCTGGGAGGTTGCCATTCCACCTCTTCTGCAACAATGTGAGATTCACTCCTCTTCTCATCTCTTTTACAGGGACGCTCTGTGGAGAAGACCAGAAACCCACAGGTGCTAGCAACAGACCTCTAGATACATAAAGAATAAGAAGATTCACTGCCAAGACATCCAGACATGGCCTGTTCTCTCGGCCCCTGCTTGTTTCACAACATGGTTACCCAAGTGTTTGGGGAGAATTATTACCCTCCCTTCCTTTATTCTGTTTGTTATTGACATTTTTATCGCCATAGCATAGCTGGGAGCACAGGGGCGAAGGGGCCCAGAGGGAAATGTTATTTCACAGTGCTACACAGAGCTATGTGTCTACACACAGAAACACTGAGTCATAAGCATACGTGTGATGCCCAGCTCCACACAGATACATGGGTTCAAAGGAAAGACACAGGTCTGGTCCCAGCAGCAGCAGTATTGGGACCTGCTGCCCTAGAAGTGGAGGGTGTGTGGAGAGGGGTCTTCTGGGGAGGTGGTGAGAGAGAAGCCTGATGACTGATGCTTCGCAGCACCTCCCTGTCCTGTCCACGCTGGATTCCCCAGGGAGCAGGGGTCACAGCTGGGTCTGGCTGCAGGTGCTCCCAGATAGCTTGTTCCTCCTAGAAGAAGAAAAAGAGACAGGTCACTTGAGGGGCAAGTTTATGTCCCATTTTCCTTTTATCTGGATCTGATTCTCCAGCCCCAGACCATCCCCTACAGCCCACAGCAGCCCTCAAGCCAGGACAACCAACTTCCAGACCTTCCCTCCACCACCACCACTACCACCACCACCACCACCTCCACTGGTACACTGACCACTGTGGGCATATTGCCCTAAACCAAAATCTGTTGCCTTTATGTCAGTTCTGACTCCTGGAGATCCTATAGGACAGAGTAGAACTGCCCTATAGGATTTTCAAGGCTGTTAACTATTTACAGAAGACTACCACATCTTTCTCCCATGGATCAATTGGTGGGTTTAAACTGCCAACCTTCCAGTTAGTAGCCAAGTGCTTAACCATTGCACCACCAACACCCCTCATGTTGCCCTAAGCCAAAGCCAAAGCCACTGCCATGGAGTTGATTCTGACTCATAGCAACACTATAGGGCAGAGGAGACTGCCCCCAAGGGATTTCCAAGGCTGTAAATCTTTACAAAAGCAAACCAGCACATCTTTCTCCCAGGGAGCAGCTAGTAGCCAAGTGCTTTAACCACTGCACCACCAGGGCTCCTCATGTTGCCAAACTAAACTCACTGCCATCTATTCAACTCTGACCCATGGCAACCCTCATTGGGTTTCCAAGGCTGATCAATCTTTACAGAAGGATGCTGCCTCATCTTTTTTCCACGGAGCAGCTGGTGGGTTTAGAACCACCAACCTTTTGGTAAGCAGCCAAATGCTTTAACCACTACGCTGCCAGAGATCCTTCATATTGCCCCAGGGGCTGAAAATATAGGCCTTTGGAAAGTGCTCTTCCCCCACCCACTGAGTGGAAAAGTTCAGCTATGAGGAGCTAAGGGGACCCATGGGAGGCCTTTTACCAAGCCAGGGGAGAGAGCCAGCTGCCCCTTCTTCTCCAGCATCTTCAGCTTTGATCCCACAGCATCAACCTGGGACACGACTCCTTCCAGGACAGTCTCCAGTTGCAGAACCTTCCTTGTCAGCCTGTTGAGGATTGGAGAGAGACTGAGGGACCAGAACTACGTTGTCTGGGGGGGCTGAGTATCTACAGAGACATGGGGATAGAACTTTGTATGGATGGGAGTAAGGAAGGTGAGACCTGGTAGGAAAAACTGACGGGGGGCAGAGTTTATGGCCAAACTAGGATAGGAAATTGGAAGGTTGTGAAAAGAAGCGCAAGGTAGGAGATAACAGACATAGTCACCCCTGAGTCCTTGGCCTCACATACATGTGAAATTCTTGTCCTGAAACCCAGCCACCTGCTCTGGCAGCCTCTGAGCCCAACTCTTCTGGTGGGTTTCTCACAATGGACTGGCCCAAGTTCTCAATCTCGGTGCTCAGGGTCACCTGATCAGGAAGTCAGAAGAAAGAGGATGACTCTGGAAGTCATCAACTTCTGTTCCACCACCTGCTCTAATGGGCTCAGGATCAAGCATTGGGCTGCAGCCTCTCTAGGCTTTTCCTTTCTCAGACTTTGGAGATAATAGGACTGAGGTGGTGGTGTTCACAAACTTGGTCCACCCTCTGGAGAGGCAATCACCTCCCAAAGAAACAAAATATAAGCTCCTGGAAGTCTTGACTAATGGTGTCCACTAGAGACCAAGTCAGTTTGGGAAAGAAAGAAAACTAACTGCCATCAGTCATCTCCAACTCATGGCAACCCTATGTGTGTCAGTGTGGAACTCTGTTCCACAGGGTTTACAATGGTGGGTTTTTTTGGAAGTAGATAGCTAGCACTATCTTCTGAGGCCCCTCTGGGTGGACTTGAGCCTCCAGCCTTCTAGTTAGCAGCTTCGTGCACTAACCATTTGCACCACTCAGAAATAAGACCAGAATTCCTGACCCTTCCCTCTGAGCTGCCATCACCGCCTGCCCTGACCCTTTAGATCTACACTAAATAAGGATGGCATAGGCATAGCAGGGGCAGCCGAGGATCAGAGTTTGAAAATCCCAAGGAGACAATGAATCCTCAGAGGGAATCGTCAGGGATTCTTGGACAATCAGTCCATTTTCCCCAAAGATTATGTTTCGGAGCCATGGTTTCCACCTTGACCACACATTGTCATCACCGGGGGAACTTTTAAAAATACTGATGTCTGCATCAGATTCTGGTCTAATTGGTCTAAGGTGTGTGGCCTGAACATGAGGATTTTTAAAAGCTCCTCGGAGTATTCTAATGTGCAGCCAAGTTTGAGAAGCACTGTTTGAGAGAATTTGTCCTGCCCATCTGTCAGAGGATTTTTCTATGCTGGGTGTGTAAGGGGTTGGTGATTTCCTTACACTGCTCCCCACCAGCAAGCCAGGGAGAGGGGCAACGGTGGCTCACCTTCCCATCCTCCAGATCCTGTTGCATTTGTTCCTGTTCCTTCTTATCCAGGATGCAATTCCTGTCTTGGTCAAACCTAGTAAAGGCAGCTGTGAGATCTGTGATTTCATGCTCTGTGTGCCCTAGCCTGAGAACAAGATGATGAAATAACTTTTGACCTGTGATAGCTGTGATCTTTCTAATAGGGACTCCCCGCTCTCTTGACAGACCCAATGCATGAGGGTTTTGCTCTCTAGGGAAGAAGGGTACTGTAGGGGCAAGCCAGGATCTTCAAGACCTAGGAATTTTACCCACAAGAAGTTGTTTGACTCTCTCTCTTCCTCCAACTCCTGTTGAGTAGGTTCAAGCTCTCATGATTGCATATGACGATTATTGCAAAATTTCTTTTCCTGTAACTAACCTGCCTGCAACCATTCTGCCTCCCACCTTTATTTCTGTCCCTGATAATTCATCTTCCATAATGCAACCAGAGTAATTAATTTTTCTAAAATGCAAGTCTTATCATATCCCTTCCCTGCTTAAATTCCTCATAGGCACCCCATTCTTTGGACAGAGTGGTGGTGTTCAAGGCCTTTCTCAATGGGGCCTTTGCTCATTTCTCTGGCCTCATTCTCCTATGCTCCACCTTTCACATGATATCTGAACAATAATGATCAGTGGCTCATAGCTCGCATATATGCTGTTCAATTTCAGACCTCTGTGCCTTTGTATATGTTTCCGTGTCTTCTTGGAATGGTTTTCCTCTGCTTATCTACTTGCAAGCTATTTATTTTCCAAAACCCTTTTCAAACATCATCTCTTCCAAGAAGCCTTTCTCTTAAGCTCAAAGATGGAATTCAGCCTCTCTTCTCCATACTACCTCTGCTCTAGTTACTTCAAGTTGTTGAACTTATTCTGTGGTTAAATGTATTTGCTTATATGTCTGTGAGCTCCTAGAGGACAAAAACTTTGTCTCACTTAATTGTGTTGTGTTCTACTCAATGCCTGGTCCACAGTTGGTGCTCACAATATATTTGTTCTATTTTTTTTTTTTTTTTAAATAATATGTTTGGCTGGAAAGGAGAGTGAGAATAGCTAAAGGAATAGACTAGCATTTTTTAGGGAACATAGAACCAAGATCAGAGTTTTGTGAGAGTGGGGGGTATATAAAATAATTAGGGAATTACATTATTACATTAGGCCTAAGAGTTTTTGAGCAAGGTCTAGAATGTTATATGCTATGGTCAAAGGCTTTTAAACTAAGGGCACAATTCTGAAAGTCAGGATCAGACCTAGAGGCCAAGATCAGAGGCCTATAGGCCAAGATCAGAAGCTTGTAGGCAAAGAATGTATAACTGAATGTCAAGGACTTATAAGCCAAGGTCAGAGGAGGTTGGATCTCTGGTTGCTCACTCCCGCAAGGTGTTGGTAAAATCCTCCAACTGGATCTCCTGCTCCCCACCCTTCAGGACCTTCTGCATATCTGAAACACACTCCTTCCTCAGGCGCAACCTCAGTAGGGTCTTATTGTAGCCCTGGAAGGGGAAAGGGAACAGACATGAGTCCTCACAGGTTCCTCATCATCCATAGCCCCCACCCCACCCATTGGGTATCAGGCTTCCAGGGATAATTCCAAGGCACACAGGGGCATAAGAACAGACCAGGACACAGAACCTTGAACCAGGCCCTGAAGCAGATGTGTGACTCAAGGAGACTGGGACATCACCTGTTTCAGAAGGTCAGAAAGCTGCAGCTCATCCTTCTGTCCAGCCAACTCCTCCTTGACCTCTGAATAGGTATCATTGATGATGGCCAGGAACATGTTCTGGAAGATAAGGCATGGACCTTTCTCCTCACCCCTAAATTCCTTCTAACTGACCCCCATTAATGAGCCACACACATTTTCTAAAGGGCTGAATGCTCTCAATCCCAGCCCTACAGCCCATCAGTCCCCACCTCTCAGGGTCCCCAGAGCCCAGCCTTTCAGCACAACCCTATTAGTGATGGATCATCCTTCCTCTTCAACATGAGCTCCTTACTTTAGTTACTGCAGTAGCATTACTGACCACAAAAGATACCTCCAAACATGTCACAGACCTCGCTCCATATAAGGACCCACTAGTAACTAAACTCAGAAATTAGTCAAGGTGAGAGTATAATTGTGCTGTCTTTACCATCTACCCCAAATCCACGTCTGTATCCCCATCCATTAATCCATTAATATGACCCCATCCAAACTCTCAAAGTCACTGCCATCGAGTCAGATCTGACTCATAGCAACCCCTCCTTGGGTTTCTGAGGCAGTATCACTACAGAAGTAGATTGCCCCATCTTCCTTCCGAGGAGTGGCCGGTGGGTTTGAACCGCCAGCTTTCTGGTTAACAGTCAAATGCCTTAGGCACTATGCCACCAGAGCTCCTATAATCCTGCTGGCTTTGTTAATAAAAATCAAACCCAGATCTTTAATGGTTGGCAGGGAGGGAGAGAGAACAACTACAAAGCTGTGGCAATAGAAATCAGTAAGAAGTTCCCAAGGGAAAGAAGAGTCTTGGACCATAAGCCTAGAAGCTTCCATGTGCAGCCTATTCTCCTCACGAAGCACTTTCTTCTCTTTTTCTATCCTTTGAGGATAGGGTGTGATTTTAAAGAGGGAGCCTGCAGGTTCCCTTATACTCTGAAAACTGCCTGACCACACTGAGCATATTAGCCTGTTCTCAGAAGTTCAAGTTTCCCCTTACTCTTCATCCTTGATTTGAGAAACACTTCATAGTCCTAAGTAGGGGAGATGGGAGAGTTTAAACCCTGCCCTGAAGGTCTTCCATATGCCCACCCCTCAGATTCCCAACTTTCAGAGGAATCCTTACCAGGAGCACAAAGAAGACAAAGAACACGTAGGTAACAAAGTAGGCAGGACCCAGGATGCAGTTGGCATTGTCAATAGCATTGTAGTCAAAGTCCCCAAGGATGATCCGGAACTGAGTGAAACTGAAAGAGCAGGGCCTGGGCTTCACCCAGAGCCTAACCATAACCCTGACTTCAATCCACACCCATCCTACTTTCTTAGCTACTGTCCCTGGGTGAGTTCCACACTGTACCTCCAGCCTAACCAGAGACAGACCAGTGCATATGGAGTACTTGAGCACACATATACCAGGGCTTCCTGAAACTCTCACACAGATGCTTTAAACACAGACACCCCCATATTCGTATATCCAGCTTCCCCAAAGATATATACACCCCAGGAGCTGGAGGGGGAGGAGCCAGGGAGGACTGAAGTGGGTAGGGCACACACATGCACTTGATGAAAGTGCTAAAATTTTCCACTTGGGTCCCAAAAAGCAGATAGCCGAGTTTGGGCATAGGTGAAAAAAACGATGAAGAACATGACGGCAAAGCCCAGGATGTCCTTGGCACAGCGGGCCACTGTGGAGGAGAGCTGCGCCATGGTTTTGTTGAAGGTGATGTACTTGAATATCTGGAAGGGCCATGTTGAACCAGGTGATTGAGAAGAAAAAGAGAAAAACTTTGAAAAGTCCACTCCAGGGACCCATGGAGGCCACAGGAGTTACCAAACCAAACAAGGGAAATGAGACAAATGGTGAGGAAGGGAGAAGGCATGCCCAGAGGTGCAGCTGTGGGTGAGGAGTGCCAGGGTACCTTGATCCAGGCAAAGAAGAGGTTGACAGCATTCATGTTGTTGTACTGTGTCTGCCAGAAGGCGAGGAACTCAAAGTCGGCGTAAGTGTTTGGCTGCTGCAGGAGCTTCCCCATCAGTCGATTCACTTCAAGAGTTCGGAATACGTGGAAACCCACAGCCACAATGGAGAGCTGTCATCACAGAGGTCATGGAGGGTCCGAGAAGTTGAGGGCATCTCAAGGGAAGGTAAAAAAATGAGGTCCCAGAGAGAGTTGTGTGTGTATGTGGGTGGGTGGAACTACTTCCCTGTTGAGTTCTTGACTAGCTCAGGTTCAAATGGAACTGGCTAGGATAATTGGGGGGCATCTGAAGTATTTTAAAGCCCAAGAGAAGGCTGTGAGGCCAGTAGTAAATATGTAGATGTCACTGCTACTGAAGTCACTGGTTGTAAGAGGCCATAGGGGATTAGAGCCAAGTCATTTTAGCTGCCACTGCCACTTCCCAGCCTCAGTCAGGAAATGAGTGTGTCCTTTTAATAGGAAAGAGATGGGGAGGAACACAATGATCAGAATAGAAGAGAAGATGAATGGCAGGGGTCGCAAGAGGATAGTTCATGAAGGCAAGAGACATAAGAATAGCAGAATATCAGTACATAAAGAAAAGAGCGGGACATGGATCACAGGCCTGTAGGAGAGGGGATGTGGGAGACAGAGTTTTCTAAGGACTGAGTCAGAGGAACATCAGCCTCTCATTTAGAGAGCTGTTGCACAATGACTTTATCAGACGTCATAAGGAAGATTTGGGGAACCAAAAAGAAGAACTTGGAGACCCTATCCAGGTAGATCCCACTCCTCCAACCAGTATGCCCCAAGTCCAGCATAGCTCACCAAGATGACCACCAGGTCCAGAATGTTCCAGATGCTGCTGAGATAGCGAAGCCTGTGGATGTGGAGCTCCAGTATCTCCTCTACCACATAGTAGAAGATGAAGACACAGAAGATTATCTCACAGCCAATGATAAAGAAGTCCCAGTTGCTGACATAGGAGATCACCTTCACTGTGCAGATCTGCCAGGATGGAATGGCACCTTCTGTAGCCAGAAACTCCACCACCAGCCTGTGTGTGGAAGTGGGAGATGGCTTGTGGCATCTGGGCTGATGGTTCCTCCCACCGCTTCTCCTCCCACCCCTACCACAGGGTACAAATTTAGGAAAGGATCTCAAGTAGATGAGAAGGGAACCAGTAACTACAGGTGGAGGAATGCCATAGGAAAAGGACCCACCTCAGAACGCAGAAAAGATTGATGTTGGCATTGTAGACTGAGAAGTCAATGAAGACCACCCAAGTGCCCCGGTCCAGCCAAAGCCCCTCCTCTAGGTCCCGGAGTGCCTCTGCACTGGCCTGCCGAGATCCCAGGAAGTCCAGGTAGTAGCCACCTCCACTGTAGCTTGTGAGCCGGCCCCAGTGGGAGGAGCCCCCCAGCTCATCCTGAGAGTGGTATGTCCACCTGCCACAGAAGAATCCATCTGAGCAAAGAGAGGCCTAAGCTAGCCCAAAAGCTCATCCTCCAAGGCAGTGGCAACACTTCATGATCATTGGGCTTTACCATTTCAGGTCCATTTCAATACTTTTTTTTTTTTTTTTTGATACTAACAACTGTTTGAGGAAGGAGGGCAAATATTATCCATGTTTTGCAAATGAGGAAATTGAGACTCAGTGATATCTGAGATTATACACCTAGTTAGGGGTGGAATTGACACTCAAACATATTTTTAAAATCTCCTGATTTTTCACTATGTCACCAAAGGCTATGGATGACAAACCCAAGTCCTACTTTTGGTCCCAGCCAGGAGAGTCCCCATAAAGGAAACATCTAGACCATAAAACCCAGAAAATATCTTGTGACTGTGCAACTGGCTGCTTATGTCCATCATTCTCTGTTCTACCCACCAATCTTTCTTCCCTGTACTTCTATGTCCAGGGAAGAGTCCAACCATGAATCCTATGGCAATGTCAACACTTCACTCATTTTCCACACCTCCAAGGGTAGATGGAAAGGGAAGATGCTTGCCTAGCCAGATTACTCCCAGGGTAGGACAAGTGTGACAGTGACTTGTCTGTGGGAACATATCTGAAAGCTATTGTTCTGTCTGTACCTGCACCTCCTCTGTTCCCTGCATAAACTCCAAGGTCAAACAATCACAGAAGGAACTCAAGGAGATGTCCTCCAAACCACCCCCTGAATGCCCCCATGGCTCTATAAGGCTCAGTGAAAGTGGTTCCCAAAACTTTGGGGTTGGTGCCAGGGGGGCTACACATCCAGATTATCTATTAAAATAGAGCTTTCTGAGTCTCAGTAGGTCTAGGGTGGGACCTTGGAATTTGCATTTAAACAGTGTCCTCAGACAAGTCCAATGTGGAGCCAAGTTTGGGAATCTCCACTCTGGGTCACTCTCAGATTCTGGGTCCTCAGAGGGGGCAAGCCTTATGATGTTAGGAGGAGCTCACTCACGCTGTGCCATTGAGGGATCCAAAGGGGAGCTGTTCTTCCTTATCTGGAGAGTAGACATCATAGCAGCTCAAAATATCCTCACGGAAGTCTTCATGCACCACACAGGAGTTATTGCGGACCCTCAGTTGCCGCAGCCTTGGAACCCCCAGCAGTAGGTTCTCGTAGTAGATGAAAGATTGGGAGCCATGGCCCAAGCTCTGGTTGTTGTACCATTTGGTCCAATATAAACTGTCCAGGAGTGGGCCCTGGGCAAACTGGACCACGATCTGGGTTGGTCTAACCGAGCTTTATAACTACCTTTGCCCCCATCCTTAGAATGACCTTTGCTCTTATTCCCTGACTAACAATTTGTCTCCAATCTGTTTCTGTTGGATGTCTCAGCTCACCCATGAACCTTGATCTGGTTCAGATCTGACCTGGCCTTACCCTTTATTCAAAATAAATTTTGAATAAGCCTTACCTGTCAGCCAGTCCTAGTTCAACTCCTGGCTTGAGCCCATGATCAACACCCTGTGCCTCACCTACCTCCACGTTAGCTCATCAGTTCTTGCCTGACCCTTTGACTCCACCTGATCCCTGACTGACCTGATCTCTGTCATAGCACCTGATCCATTTTGTGGACTCTCTGAACTCTGGCCTATGGCCTTAGACTTCAGGCCATTGGAAAGGAAAGGAGAGGGGTAGAAGAGATTTCATACTCACATCCCAGAAGTCTGCCATGCTGCTGATGGTCTGGAAGGAGACACCGGTGTCTGATGGAGTGTGTAAAAAGAGCTCAGACATCACTTTGGTGTAGTAATAAGCACTGGGGCTTGTCATTCCATAAGTCACTAGAAAACAATCCAAAAATCTCTGTTCTGCTCACTGTTCCCATCTCCATTTCCCCCAGGAAAACCAAATCAAATTCACTGCCATCAAGTCGGGTCCAACTCATAGCAACCTCCTTGGGTTTCCGAGGCAGTATCACTATGGAAGTAGATTGCCCAGTCTTCTCTCCAAGGAGTGGCTGGTGGGCTTGAACCGCCAGACTTCTGGTTAGCAGTCAAATGCCTTAGGCACTCAACACCAGAGCTCCCCATTTCCCCAGAGGAGACAGGAAACCCACTGCCTTGAAGCCAGAGACACCACCTAGATAGGAGCCCATCAAACCTGCCTACCAGGGTTGGCTGTCAGGGAGTGAATTAAGGAGGTTTATAGCCACAGTCTTCTCCTTTCCTCTCAACTCACCTCAGAGAGACTGTACTCTGATCAATAATTGCCTCTTGACATCCTCATCCTGAAAATTCACTTTCCTTTTCCTAAACAGTCCCAACAACCTAGTTCTTACTCCCCACAGCCAAGATATTTCTTCTCTGTGCATTGGGTTGCATTTCCTTTTATTTATCCTATATTTTGTCCTTTTGAAAGTGCCTCCAAATTCTAGAGTACTCCAACGTCCTGACAAAACACTTTGCTATGGAGATGTATCCTGAGGTAGGCATGGCACCCATCTAGCCCTGACAATACTAGTACATCCTGATGGGCACAGTTGTCTCCTGAGAGAGACTCAGAGCATCTCCAGATTTAAAAAAAAAAAAAAAAAAAAAAACAACAACAGACCCTGGCCTTTGCCTTTAAGAACTAGATATCCCCCAATCACACTAACACATTTACCCAATCCCATGCGCCTCAATAGGGTTGCTATAAAAATGGTGTGGTGGAGGCCTCTGACTGCCTCTAACTTCCCAGAGTGAGAAAGAATCATTACCTACATTAGCCCTAGGCTAATTCCTATGAGACAGAGGTCAGATAGGTCTCCACCCTCTAACCTTTGTACAAATTCTGACACCAATGGTCCCTCTACAACATTCTCTATGTCTCTGCCTTGTTTGATAATCTGATAATCCATTGCAATACCACACAGAGCTCACAGACAGCACTCGTGACTATGAAGTGTATTAGGAAAGTAACATGTTACAATTCAGGATCAGAAATGACTCAGGATACAGGTCTTCAATAAAGACAGCCTCTCCTCAGCCTCCAGGCATGCCTCTATCTCTGGCTCACAGCTTCTTGGTCCTGTAGCCCCTTGGCTTCTGCCCAGTTTGAGCAAGTGTAATAAAGCTTTTTCAGCTCTGCTCACGCTGCCCAGAGGCACCCCACTCCACCAGCACGCCTTCTGCCCAAAGGTGCTCAGCTTTTTTGCTGCACAAGCCTGAAACCCACCATACTGTCTTGTGCCATCTCTTTGCTTTGCTGCCTCTGCTGTTGCCATTTCTCTACTGTTGCTTCTCACTGTCTCTTGGGTTACAGCTTTCTGTCTCCTCCATCTAAGAAGCTCCCAGTGCAGGAACCCTGAATCTGAAGGTTGCGCTCCACTCACATTCTTCTCCTTGGTCGTAGTCAGGTCCCCCTTTTCTGCCTCTGGGATGGCTCATTTTAAGCTTAGTGGGATGACAAAATTGACCAATCCCCACCTTATTTGCACAGTCCCACCCTCACATGGGTAAAACGCGAACCAAACTCATGGCCATAGAGTCGTATCTGACTCATCAGAACCCATCCTTGGGTTTCCAAGGCAGTATCATTATAGAAGTAGATTGCCCAGTCTTCCTTCCAAGGAGTGGCTGGTGGGTTTGAACCTCCAGCCTTCTTGATAGCAGTCAAATGCCTTAGGCACTACACCACCAGAGCTCCCCTGCCCTTATTTACATTATGAGCAAGCTATCTAATCCCCTAGGTAGGCCACAAGTACCTCACATTTGCATAGTCTTACTCAGTCATTTGGTGGGAGTTACAAAGACTACAGCTAGAAGGGTCATACCAAGCAATTCACTGAACCACAGTCATCAAGGGAAGCTCTAAGTTTTCTGGTTAAATGACAAGGTTTGAAGAGAATGAACTATTTTATAGACTGTTCCTTAATTTAGGTTTTTCAGATGTTTCCTCATGAAGAAAATTCAGATTATGCATTTTTAGGAGGAATACCATAGAAATATTCCACTGCTTGTCTGTCAGTTTGTCATACTGTGGTGGCTTGTGTGTTGCTATGAGGCTGGAGGCTATGCCACTGGTGTTACAAATACCAGCAGGGTCACCCATGGAGGACAGGTTTCAGCGGAGCTTTCAGACTAAGACACACTTGGAAGAAGGAAGGGGCCATCCACTTCTCAAAGAATTGGCCAGTGAAAACCTTACAAGTAGCAGTGAAACACTGTCTGATACATTACTGGAAAACTTGATGAATAGCCCTAATACATTGTCTCACGTAGTGCCAGAAGATGAGGATGGAATGCACTCAAAATATGATTGGGGAAAAGATGCCTCCTCAAAGTACAGTCGACCTTAATGACATGGATGGAATAAAGCTTTCAAGACCTCCATTTGCTGGTGAGGCATGACTCAAAATGGGAAGAAATAGCTACAAACATCCATTAATAATTAGAATGTGGAATGTATGAAGTATGAATGTAGGAAAATTGGAAGTTGTCAAAAATGAAATGGAACCCATAAAGATCGGTATCCTAGGCATTAGTGACCTGAAATGGACTGTTTTTGGCAAGTTTGAATCAATAATCATATGATCTGCTATGTCAACAATGACAAATTGAAGAGTAATGGCCTCACATTCATCATCACAAAGAATGTTTCAAGATCTATCCTGAAGTGTAATGCTGTCAGTGATAGGATGATATCCATAGGCCTCCAAGAAAGACCAGTTAGTACTGGAAAAATATAGAATAATACTACTATTATTCAAATTTATGCACTAACTACGAGAGCCAAAGATGAGGAAATTGAAAATTATTTTTATCAACTTCTGCAGTCTGAAATTGACCACACATGCAATCAAGATGTGTTATTTACTGGTGACTGGAATGCAAAAGTTGGAAACAAAGAACAATCACCAGTAGTTAGAAAATATGGCCTTGGTGATAGAAATAGTGTTGGAGATCATATGATAGAATTTTGCAAGACCAATGACTTATTCATTGCAAATGCCTTTTTCAACAACATAAGTGGCAGCTATACACTTGGACCTTGCCAGACAGAAGACACAGGAATCAAATCTACTACCTCTGTGGAAAAAGGCAATGAAGAAGCTCAATTCCTTCAGCCAAAACAAGGCCAGGAGCTGATTGTGAACTAGACAATCAATGGCTCACATGCAAGTTCAAGTTGAAGCTGAAGACAATTAAAACAAGTCCATGAGAGCCAAAATATGACCTTGATTATATCCCACCTGAATTTAGAGACCATCTGAAGAATAGATTTGATGCACTGAACACCAATGACTGAATACCAGAGGAATTGTGGGATGACATCAAGAGCATCATCCATGAAGAAAGCAAAACATCATTAAAAAGACAGGAAAGGAATAAAAGACCAAAAGGGATGTCAGAGGAGACTCTGAAACTTGCCCTTGAGTGGAGAGTAGCTAAAGCAAATGGAAGAAATGACAAGATAAAAGAGCTGAAAAGAAGATTTCAAAGAACAGCTAGAGCAGACAAAGTCAATTATTATAATGAAACGTACAAAGACCTGGAGTTAGAAAACCAAAAGGGAAGAACACACTTGGCATTTCTCAAGCTGAAAAAATTGAAGAAAAAATTCAAGGCTCAAGTTGCAATATTGGAAGATTCTATGGGAAAAATATTGAATGATGCAGGAAGCATCAAAAGAAGATAGAAGGAATACATAAAGTCACTGTACAAAAAAAGAATAGGTCAATGTTCATCTGTTTAAAGAGGTGTCATGTGATCAAGAACCAATGGTATTGAAGGAAGAAATGAAAGCTCCACTGAAGTAATTGGCAAAAAACAAGGCTCCAAGAATTGATGGGATACCCATTGAGATGTTTCAACAAACAGAGGCTGTGCTGAAGGCATTTACTTGCCTGTGCCAAGAAATTTGGAAGACAGCTACCTGGGCAACTGACTGGAAGAGATCCATATTTGTACCCATTCCAAAGAAAGGTGATCCCACAGAATGTGTAAGTTATTGAACAATATCATTAATATCACATTCAAGTAATTTGGAAGACAGCTACCTGGGCAACTGACTGGAAGAGATCCATATTTGTACCCATTCCAAAGAAAGGTGATCCCACAGAATGTGGAAGTTATTGAACAGCATCATTAAGATCACATGCAAATAAAATTTTGCTGAAGAAAATTTAAAAATGGTTGCAGCAGTATATTGATGGAGAACTGCCAGAAATGCAAGCTGGATTCAGAAGAGGATGTGGAACAAGGGATATCATTGCTGATGTCAGATGGATCTTGGCTGAAAACAAAGAATACCAGAAAGATGTGTACTTTTGTTTTATTGACTATGCAGAAACATTTGCTTGTGTGGATCATAACAAATTGTGAATAACCTTAAGAAGAATGGAAATTCCAGAACACATGGTTGTGTTCATAAGGAACTTGTACATGGACCAGGAGGCTGTCATTTGAACAGAACAAGGAGATATTGCATGGTTTAAAATCAGGAAGGGAATGTGTCAAGTTTGCATCCTTTTACCATACTTATTCAATCTGTATGCTGAGCAAATAATCCAAGAAGCTGGACTACATGAAGAAGAACATGGCATTAGGATTGGAGGAAGACTCATTAACAACCTGAGATATGCAGACGATACAGCCTTGCTTGCTGAAAATGAAGAAGATTGAAGCACTTACTGATGAAGATTAAAGACTACAGTCTGCAGTATGGATTACACCTCAATGTAAAGAAAGCGAAAATCCTTACAACTGGACCAAAAAGCAGCCTCACGATTAATGGAGAAAAGATTGAAGCTGTCAAAGATTTCCTATTACTTGGATCTACTATCAACACCAATGAAAAC